AAATATTATTGAGGGTAAGGACATTAATCTCACTTCATTGCTAATATCCAATTACGAAAACCCTCAAGCACACAGTATCACTGCTGATGAAATAAAAGTTAATCTATCAAGCAAGCCTGATCCCCGTCTTAACAGGAACCTGAATATACAAGATTTTATTCAGGCCTTTGGCAAATATAAGCGAATCATGTGTGTGTCATATCCCGAAAGACGTGAAGAGCTTGATGCATATGAAGCAGATTTGATTCAGATCCATAAATTTTATGGAGATAAATTTTATACCTACCATAAGCTGTTCTCTGCAAAGGCAGCTACACTCCTAAGAGAGAAACACATCAAGGTTGATTGGAGTAAAAGAGACCGTGACATTCTTTCACTAGTTAGTGGGAGTATTAGAGTAAATGCATGCAACTTATGTCATCAAGTTGATCATGCCACAGAATTTTGTGCATTGCAGTGTTCTGATCATCAGGGTATACATGTAGATAGCAACTTAGGTTACAACAGGTCAGTTAGACCAAACATGCCAAACAAGCTTGATAAACAAGGTCGTAGTAGAGTATTTTACGACGGTAAAGAAGTATGTAACAATTATAATAATGTCAGGGGTTGTTTCAGAACAACATGCAACCTTCTTCACACTTGCTCAACTTGTAGATCTACAGGTCACCCCGCACCTACATGTACAGGTAATAGACAAAACCATCACAATGTTCATGTTCCTCAAAAATATTCACAAACCTACAAAAATAACACTAGTAGCAAAGATGTTACTCAGACTAAACCTGATAACAAATCATGACTACATGTACATTTGGAAGATTATTCGATGAAAGCATCAACTCCTATCAACATAGAAAAACTTGAGCATGAGCTGCAGAATCATCCAGATATAAATTTCAGATCATATTTGATAAATGGATTAAGAAATGGTTTCGATTCTATGGTAAAATATGATACATGGGTTTCCAAAGTATGCAAAAATAATTACTCGGCTAGGTCGCAATCTACAGTTGTTTCAGATTTGATAAAGAAAGAATGTGAAAAAGGTTTTGTGTATGGGCCATTTCAACATAGTCCTTTTCCTCGTTTTAGAGTAAGCCCTCTAGGGGTAGCAACGGGGAAATATTCCGATAAGAAAAGATTAATTTTAGATTTGTCATCACCACACAATGATGAATGTATGAGTGTTAATGATATGATAGACAAAAGTGATTGTTCTATGTCTTATGTGAAAATAGATGATGCTATCCGCATCATTTCAAAATGTGGAAGAAAAGCAAGTCTATCCAAGTACGACATATCCGATGCATTTAAAATTTGTCCTTACAAACCTACGCAGTGGCCACTGTTTTGTTTTAAGTGGAAATCTATGTATTATTTTTATGTTAGGCTCACCTTTGGATGCCGTTCCAGTCCTAAAATTTTTTGACACTGTCTCCCAAGCAGTGTGTTATATTGCTGAGAAAAACTATAAGGTACAGCATATTCTGCATTTGTTAGATGATTTCCTAACAATTGACCATCCCGACAAAGATGGAGAGAGGACAATGGCAATTATGATGACAATATTTAAACGGCTTAACATTCCCATTGCAAGTCATAAAACAGTTGGGCCTACTACTTGTTTAGAATATTTGGGTATCATACTAGACTCACAAAAAATGGAAACCAGATTACCTGATAATAAGGTGCAAAGGATATGCAATTTTATTCGCAAAATATTACACAAATCATCTTGTACAAAAAGAGAACTTTTACAGTTATTGGGACATTTTAATTTTGCTTCCAGGGTTATTTTACCTGGAAGGTCTTTTGTTTCTTATTTGATTAATTTGTCAACTACAGTTAAAGATTTGTCTGATTTCGTGCATTTAAGCACAGAATGTAGAACAGACTTGGATTTTTGGTTACGTTTTTGTCAAACTGGAATGGCATTACTATGTTTCATGAAAATGAATTTACAAGTAGCTTTGATATGGAATTATTTACAGACGCTGCGTCAACAATAGGATTTGGGGGCTATTTTCAGGGAAAATTCTTTTATTCAACCTGGCCTTTGGATTTACCATCATTGACAAACAACCTTTCAATAGCTTTTTTAGAATTATATCCTATTGTTGTAGCAGCACTGCTTTGGGGGCCAGAGTGGTCTTGTAAAAGAATATTATTCTGGTGTAATAATGAGGCCACTGTAGCTATTGTGAAAAAGGGGAGATCAAAAACTCTAGAAATTATGAAATTGATGAGACAGCTGACTTGGTGTGCAGCTAAATATAATTTTTACTTTAGTGCAAAACATGTTCCAGGTTATAAAAACCAAATTTCGGATGCTTTGTCTCGTTTACAGATCACCCGTTTTTACAAGCTGGCCCCAAAAGCAGAACAGAGTCCATGCATAGTTCCAAGTGCATCAGAAGTAATGTGGCACTGAGCGAAACAGTTAGTAAATTATGGAATTATTCTATATCTGAAGGGACAAAAGTGTCATATGAGACCGGTTATAATCATTTTTTAAAATTTGTGCTATTAAATGGTATAAGTGTCACTGACAGCAAGCCTCATTCAGTGTCAGAAGATCTATTGATATATTTCGCTACACATTGCTTTCAACATCCCAAACTACAGTACTCTACAATTAAACTATACATATGTGGAATTAGACATAGATGCTTGAAGGACAATATATGTTCTCCTTTCAAAAATTCTAGTAACAATTTAGAGAGACTGTCCTTGTTTTTTAATTCTATTAAAAGATTACAGAAACCGATCATTAAAGATCGCTTACCCATAACTTTTGATATCCTTCAACATTTATGTGTTAAGCTTAAAGAAGGAATTTTTTCACCTTTTATTGACCAGATGTTATATACTGCTTTTACAGTAGCTTTTTATGGTTTCTTACGCTGTGGCGAGTTTACAATTCGCAGGTCAAAATCATTTGATTGTAACAACAATTTATGTATATCTGAGGCTTTGTTTTATTCTGACTATGTTATTTTACATTTAAAGCAGTCTAAGACTGACCTTTTCAGGATGGGTGTTGATATTCAACTTCACAAGCTAAATCATGATTGTTGTCCATTTAAAGCTTTACATGATTATTTGATTGTAAGGAAAACCATGTTTAAATTTCAAAATAATAGTGCTTTATTTATTGACGAATCGGGTAAAGCTCTAGAAAGAGAATTTTTCATCAGCAAGTTAAAGCATCTTTTGGGTATCTGTGGATATAATCCTCAGTCCTTTAACGGACATTCATTTCGAATTGGAGCTGCTACAACAGCTGGAAAATCTAATATTGAGGATCACTTAATTAAAACATTAGGTAGATGGAATTCTAATAGTTATTGTCGCTATATATGAACTAGTAAAAATGTAATTAAAAAGGCACAACAAAAGTTATCATCATGATTCTTGTATCTATCGATTACATCATATCCTGTGTAAAATAATTTTTGCTTTTATTCTTATTTTATACTATATAGTGTACATTTGCACATGTACAATACATACCTGTAGATATTAAACATTTGAGTATTTTAAATATCATGTATTTGTTTGTTTCATTTTAAAAACTGATTCATATGATTAAATACATATTTTATTATTTCTATCTTTCATTATCAGTGAAGTATTGAAGGTGTCCAAGGTGTTAAAAGTCCATCCCCTTACAACCACTTTCCTATTCAATTCCTTGGGGGTCACTCAGCTGTTTCACATCTGATCTTTGGACCATTACGAAATTCACCACTGGTTAATTTCTCTTCTTATCCCCAAGTAATTAACTACTTTTCATCTCTCCATCGTCAATTCAACCCCTTTTCGTAGCACCCTGCTACGAGATGAAGCATCGCTTCATCCCCTTTTGGAACCCTCTGCGTTCCAGTTGATTGGCGGAGTGTCCATGTCCACGGGGCTTGGCTACCCACTATACCAAGTGTCGTCGACAGGGCCTGGAGCAAAATTTTCCCAGCTGAGATACTGACTCCCAAAGGGCAAACTTATATTATATATTAAAAGTGAAACTTTATCAAGCCTTTGTTAACAACAGCCTTATCAATTTGTCAAAGTACTTGCGTCAGGTTTAGTCATTTGTCTGGTTCTGGTTTTTATATGGTCAGTAATTGTGGTTCTTCATCTTAAAGACAAGTTGAGAGACTGTAGCGTTTGGTCCCATGTTGTATATACATGTACATGTTTATGTTGAGTATAATTTGGCACCAGCTGTTCCAGGGTTAAAGAGCAACACTTGAAGAAACTATTATATAAGAGGATCTCCAAATTTAAGTTAGAGGTCTTGAGGTAATCATAAAGCACAGTGGTATCAAGGATCACATACAATGTGTTAGGGGCGTCACTTGGCATTCGTCGTCTCCTTTGTGCTTACATGTCATGTAGGTCTCAAGTGATCACTTGGCATCAGTCTATCAATATTACTTAAGCTGTCATTTTCCTCCAGGACGAAAGTATAAATTGTAACTTATGCAGAGTATAAGTGTTGTTTATTCAGACGGGATGGTTTCTTCCATGAGATGGGGCAGTCGATTCCATTATAAGGTCAAAGGTCATGTCTAATTTGGTCTATCTGATATCAGGGATTAGGTTCTCAGATTACAATTGCAGGCTGCCAGCTTCTCACTTTTGATTTTGCTGTTGAATACAAAGGACGTTTACTCTATAGGAATAAGTTTTCAATTTCACCCACCATCCACCCCAATCAACCACCTTCAATATTTCACTGAATGTGGAATAAGGCTCAGGCTTCCGTACTGGACTCTTACAGTTTTAAGGAATTTTCGAATTATACCAGTTTAAATTACAGGGTTCTATTTATTTGGGAGGGATGTACAAGTACGCAGTCACGTTTAATTATTAATCCTTTGTCAATATTTATTATCATTGTTTTAATCATTATCAAACTGCTATTCGTTTGGAATGTTTAAATGCGCAGCCTCTGTTTTAATTACTCTACCGGTGTCAAATTTGAAATATTATACCAGCTTAGAACGGTCAGTGCCTGTTTATTGGGAATGTATTTCCACGCAACCGTTGTTGTAACATCTTAACTGGGGTCATCTTTGAAATTTTAGAGTTGTACCAGTTCATATCGCACATTTCTATTTTTATTGAAGCATATCTTTGCAGTCTCTGTTGTAAATAGCTATATAACCTACTTAAATGAAGAAAAAAAAAGAATTGTACAGGCGTCTCTATGATGTTCAGTTTTGAATGTTTTATTGTATAAATTTCAAGATTGTTGTAGTTTTATAATAAGATTAGATTGATATATTCATTTTACATCGTGATCATACTGATGAAGGATATCTGTTATCCAAAATATTTAACATTTGTTCATTTAATTTTTTTTTTTTTGGTGATGTTGTACACTTTTAGACTTGTTATGTATATATAAACAAGTCTAAATTGTAAACAACGTTCAAACCTATGATTGCGTTGGATAAAAACCACAATTTTTATACGTGTGCATGCAAAACAAATTTTTGGTAGAGGGGTCTACAGCACAAACAACATTTTCCAAAAGACCAAAAAAGGGAAAAAGTATATTTTAAAAAAACGCATTTGACTATATTATATATATTTATCACATATACACATTTATTCCGTAACGACGTTGTTAAGTTCCAATCTGCCACAGGCACTTGTCTCAGATTCCCCCACCCCCCCTATATACCTTAATTAAGATATATAGGAATTTTTTTTCTGAGACAAGTGCCTGTGCAATCTGCCTAAGAATCAGGCAGTGGTAAAACATGACAAACAAAAACCCACTTAAGTTGACATTGATTTATGTTCAAATTGTATAATTGTATAATGGTGCAAGAATATAACATTCGTTTCCTTTTCCTGTTCTGGTAATTCAAGTTATAATTTGGTTGAAATAAACAATTAAGGGGAGCTAACTCCGTGATTTGCTATCATTCTAACCAAAAGTTATCTAGAGATTTCTCGATTACCAGATACGTAGAAACGAAAGACCCTTCATTTCTCACGCAGGATGAGGATAACTACAAAAAAGATGGTTACGTCGTTATGCTTTTCCCGGCCATTTTTTGAATTTTTTCTAAATTGCCTGATTCTTACAAAGACTGGCACTTGATAACATATTCATATGAAAAGTTCTCTTAAATGAGTTATACTGAAACAAATAACGATACAAACGTATAAAACGTTAGTATTTTCTTCTATATATAAGTAACCAGCGAAGACAACCGCATGTTAAAGGAGATGTGTGTAAAAGTGGTTGAAAATGATACATATGTACTGAAGTTTAAAAATTAAATTAAAGACAAATCAATAAATTAATCATTTGATTTGTCCATTAAATAAATAAATTAGTCATTTATTTTGCCCATTAGCTGAGTAAAAGTTCATAAATCTTCAAAAGTAAAAATACCTTTCCATTTAAACAATTGTATAATTTTCAAATCAGTATACATGCACTACAATTATAACAATCATCCTGAGTGCACTGCATACCAGCAGGATCATGGGATGAGCTAGTGAAATATTTCTCAATACCGATGAAACGAATCACAACAAATAAAATTAACCCATTTGGAAGGTTTTCGTTAATACATAGCATAATCGCAAATGTGAGTTATAAATCCATAGTAGGAATAATGGTTCATATAATATACCAGTATACTAATAGCGTTTTGTTATCGTTAATATGACTTTCTGGTCGATTGTTTGAATTTCAAGGTCGAAAGTGTGTGTTTTCACTCAATATTGTGAGTATATGGTAGTAAATGTGATGTAAAAAGTCGCAAATGTGAATTATGAAGTTGTAAATAAAAGATGTTATGTCGGTATTAGATATTAAAATAGCTATAAATTGTAAAGTCGTAAAAATAAGTTACGAAATTGCAATAGTAAGTTATGAATTTGTTCCCAGAATTTGTATATTCGGTTTTAGATGTGAAAATGAATCTATAGTTCCCTGTATTTTACAAGCTATCATTGAATCCCCTGCCTATGCTGTTCAGTTACAAACTAAAAGAGAAGCTCGCTGTTAAAAAATAAAATGTACGTTCAGTTACAAACTAAAAGAGAAGTTTGCTTTAAAAAATGTACTTTCAGTTACAAACTAAAAGAGAAACTCGCTTTAAAATGTACTTATTTTTACTAAACAGGACAGTTGGACGAAGAATATTATTATGTTTGCATCCATTCTTGGATGATACGACTTGTATTTCACTATGCATGGAATTGACATAACAAAAAAATACAGGTCGAGCAATTTGCATTGTTACAAGCGCTGGAAATTAAAATGATAAAACCTGGCGAAAGTGAACGGTTAAACAATATATTGTTGTTAGGCGTATGAATTTTGGAGTATAGAAAGCGGGCTGATTGTAATAACAATAGAGTAAGAAGTCCCGTTAGTATTCAAAGTGGTGCGTGCAAGAGAAAAGTTATCGACAAGTTATAAGACTCATCAGTGACCCTCGAATTATCCTAAATATATGCTGACAGTCTGTTTTCATATATGTACATCTACCAGTAATCCTTTGAAGATATAAAGAAACAATACCTTTAAAGGGAATGACGTAAGCTAACAAAACTTACCATACAGTATGTTTCAAATCCAGAGATATACTTTTAACAATTGTGCAATCACTTGTCTGTTATATTGTGAAATGTCCAAATTTGTCTCGATGACTTGCATAGTATTTGAAAAAAGATATTGAATTAATGAATTTTGATATTTAAATGGTCATGGCTATACAGTATTTATGTATTTGAAAAAAAGATATTGAATTAATGAGTTTTGATATTTAAATGGTCATGGCTATACAGTATTCATGAAAAGAAAAGGGATTCTATTAAATATGCAAGGACATTGAATAGCTGACAAATTGCCCAATTAATGTCTAAAAGAACTTGTAATACATTAATGTCGACACAGACTGTTTATAAGAGTTTTTATGTCATCTTCAAAGAATTTTTACGAAAGATAGATTTTTCCAATTAGTGCAGCGGCTACAAGCATATTTCAGAAGAATTGTGCACATCCTGCTACAAGCATGAAACTTGGCACAAAGCTTCCTCTAGTATTACTCTATGATTTCAGATAGGGAGGCAATCTGAAAAAATGCACCACTTCCGGTAAAATCTAATATGGCGGACATTATACTAAATCAGCCCAATATCGGAGTCTGGTATGTGAAAAGGTGTTATAATCATGCTACTATCATTATATTCGGCACAAACCTTTGTTCTGTGCTACTTTTGGATACATTATATAGATTATATGTCTTTAAAAACCCTACTTCCGGTAAAATCCAATATGGCAGACATTGTACTAAAATAAGCGTATTTTTTAGGGAGGGTAATTGAAATGTGTTTTAATGTATTGCTACTATCATTATATTGTGCAGGAACCTTTCTTTGGTGCTTCTCATGGATACAATATACAGGACATATGTCTTTAAAACCCCTAATTCCGGTAATATCCAATATGACGGACATAGAAATATCAATTTTTTATTTTTATATTCAACTTTTTTCAAAATGTAAAAAAAGTGTTTTTTGTGCCGGTCATTAAACTTTTGGCTTTAAGTTATCCCCAAACCACTAATTCACTATTATGTTTAAAATGTTTTAATACAAAGTTAACACTTCCGGTAATAAACAATATGGCGTAAAAAACAGATGAGTACTCAATCTGTATCCTCAATGTAGAGTTTTTAGTGCAGCGGCTACAAGCATATTTCAGAAGAATTGTGCACATCCTGCTACAAGCATGAAACTTGGCACAAAGCTTCCTCTAGTATTACTCTATGATTTCAGATAGGGAGGCAATCTGAAAAAATGCACCACTTCCGGTAAAATCTAATATGGCGGACATTATACTAAATCAGCCCAATATCGAAGTCTGGTATGTGAAAAGGTGTTATAATCATGCTACTATCATTATATTCGGCACAAACCTTTGTTCTGTGCTACTTTTGGATACATTATATAGATTATATGTCTTTAAAAACCCTACTTCCGGTAAAATCCAATATGGCAGACACTGTACTAAAATAAGCGTATTTTTTAGGGAGGGTAATTGAAATGTGTTTTAATGTATTGCTACTATCATTATATTGTGCAGGAACCTTTCTTTGGTGCTTCTCATGGATACAATATATAGGACATATGTCTTTAAAACCCCTAATTCCGGTAATATCCAATATGACGGACATAGAAATATCAATTTTTTATTTTTATATTCAACTTTTTTCAAAATGTAAAAAAAGTGTTTTTTGTGCCGGTCATTAAACTTTTGGCTTTAAGTTATCCCCAAACCACTAATTCACTATTATGTTTAAAATGTTTTAATACAAAGTTAACACTTCCGGTAATAAACAATATGGCGTAAAAAACAGATGAGTACTCAATCTGTATCCTCAATGTAGAGTTTTTAGTGCAGCGGCTACAAGCATATTTCAGAAGAATTGTGCACATCCTGCTACAAGCATGAAACTTGGCACAAAGCTTCCTCTAGTATTACTCTATGATTTCAGATAGGGAGGCAATCTGAAAAAATGCACCACTTCCGGTAAAATCTAATATGGCGGACATTATACTAAATCAGCCCAATATCGAAGTCTGGTATGTGAAAAGGTGTTATAATCATGCTACTATCATTATATTCGGCACAAACCTTTGTTCTGTGCTACTTTTGGATACATTATATAGATTATATGTCTTTAAAAACCCTACTTCCGGTAAAATCCAATATGGCAGACATTGTACTAAAATAAGCGTATTTTTTAGGGAGGGTAATTGAAATGTGTTTTAATGTAGTGCTACTATCATTATATTGTGCAGGAACCTTTCTTTGGTGCTTCTCATGGATACAATATACAGGACATATGTCTTTAAAACCCCTAATTCCGGTAATATCCAATATGACGGACATAGAAATATCAATTTTTTATTTTTATATTCAACTTTTTTCAAAATGTAAAAAAAGTGTTTTTTGTGCCGGTCATTAAACTTTTGGCTTTAAGTTATCCCCAAACCACTAATTCACTATTATGTTTAAAATGTTTTAATACAAAGTTAACACTTCCGGTAATAAACAATATGGCGTAAAAAACAGATGAGTACTCAATCTGTATCCTCAATGTAGAGTTTTT